GCGGTACTCATCGTATGAGATGCGGCCGTCGCCATTGTAGTCCGCGTCCCGCAGCTCCGTCGCTCCCGCCGCGCCGGCGATCCCCACCAACGCCCAAAAGACGGCGATCGGAGCCAGCATACAGCACGGGCCCCAGAGGGGGGACATCCGCTTTGCGCGAGGGTAGCGCCGCGCCAGCCGCGCCGGCGCCTTGAGGATGAAGACGACCGTTGCCAGCGCCGCGCACAGCTGGCCGACGCAGTACCTGTTCTCAGTCTGAGAGTGAGTAGACGCCCTCCACAGCTTGTACGGCGGAGCTGACCGCGGCGCACGGCGAGAAGAAGCCCGGCACCCAATGGATGGGCCAGAGGTACTGAAAGGGTACGCGGCTGGCGTGCGCCAGGCCGCCGCGGATGGCGAGGAGGCCGATGGAGGCGAGCAACCCAGAGATGACGGGAGGCGGCAGCAGCTTGACAAGCGTGCCCAGCTTCATTCGACCGGCGAAGTAGAAGAAGCAGCCGGTAAAGAAGGCGGCCCACGAGATGGCGTGGAAGACGTGCAACTCGGCCTCGAACACCAAGGCCTAAGCTGGGAGAGAAGGGTGAAGAGGTGAGGCAGGTTCGGTGCAACTCGGCCTCGAACACCAAGGCCTAAGCTGGGAGAGAAGGGTGAAGAGGTGAGGCAGGTTCGAGGCGTACTGAGGAGCGCCTTGCGCGCCTTGTCCTCCTCCGACATCACGCCGTGTTCGTCGTCGCCAATGATACCATCGTCGTCGCCCATCGTGTGTGCGATGATGCGAGGCACCGTGAGCGCGAGCAGGACTGCCGGCACGTCCTGCGACGCCACGATCGCGTATTGGAGTCGTCCGAAGAGCGCCGAGACGACGATCGAGATGGAAGACGTGAATAAGAGCATCGTCATTCCCAGGCTCGTGGCCTCTGAGGCAGCCTCTCCGCTGACGAAGTTGAAGGGAGAAAAGTAAATGCTTGCCATGACCGCCAGGCATAGGATGCAGTTCAGACCGCCCACCAGGCCGCCCAATAAATTCGGCATAACTTCGCTCCGATCGGGAAAAGTCTCGCCGAGAGTTGGCCAGTACCCGCAGAGGAACCAGCGCTTCTTGTCGGACCCGCCGATGAGGCAGGCCAGCAGCTTTGCGCGAGCGCGAGACATCGGCGAGGTTGGCGGGCGCTCTACGACCTGCGCTCGCTCGCCCGGCATTGTGCCGCGGCGACACAAACGCTGAAATCTGCACCCCCTGGGGGTCGGAATTCTTTTCTCGAGGTTCTCGAGGTTCTCGAGGTTCTCGAGGTGGATATCCTTTGGCCGCGTTGGGTAGCGAGGATTGGTGTAACCCGAGCCACGGAGGCGTGTTTTCTGACGGCCGACCGTCAGTGCACGGAGTTGCCCCTTCTCCGACTGCCCCGGCTAGTTCACGGGTTTCGCGGGAGTGACCCCATGCGTCAAACCCGAGACCTAGCGCGGGTGGGTTGGAGGGGGCTCGCCCCGTTCCTCCCCATCGGGCCGCATGAGCGGCCACGCCTCGCAGATTCGTTTCTCGCGCCTGGGTCAGGCGCGCGGGGCATCCCCCGGGTCGCTCGACCAGCGATCCGAAGAGTGGCCGCTATGCGAAGGAAAGAGCGGGGCCCTCGACGCCTCAGTCCGGCCCTCCGAGGGGGGAAGGGAAGTGCGGGGTCCCCACGGGCGCCTCAGTTCGGCCCTCCCGAGGGGGGGGAGGGGAGGAAGGGGGTGGGGGGATTGGGGTGGTGGGGAGGGGTCTCGGTTTTGTGCGGCTACTGTAATACTTGCCTTTCGGGGAGGGGCCTCAGGAAAGGCGAGTCCAGCTCAACCCCACGTCTTCCCCTCCTCCCTAGAGGCAGCGAGTAGGCAGCGAGAGGAGCACTCGAGCGCCTATATGTCAATCGATGCGCGGATGGCTGTGGAAGAGCGATGGGGAGAGAGGGCGGGCGGGCGGGCGGGTGGGCGGGAGGGGCGGCAGGAGGGAGGGGGGGCGGGAGGGCGGGCGGGAGGGCAAGCTGTTGGGTGGAGAGCTTGGTATCAGTCGGTGGTAGCCGTAGTGCAGTAGTGGTGCGGCTGCGGCAGTAACAGCGCAGCAGCAGCACAGCAGCCGCAGCAGCAACTTCGAGCCCTGCGGTGTCTAACTCTTTCAGTCTATCTAGGCGGCCGCGAGGTTAATATACCGAATAATGGTGTCAAAACACCGGGGGGTGGTCGGCGCGCAGGCACCCGAGGGGCGTCGTCGAGCGCGCAGTTGGCTCGGCGTCGACCCCTCCACGGCGCCCACTCAGCACATACTCTCCACCTCACCTCACACGCAACTCAGGCTCTCTACTTCACAGGCTCGGCGCAAGACGCTCACACCACTATTCACGCGCTCGTGGATATCCTTTGGCCGCGTTTGGTAGCGAGGATTGGTGTAATCCGAGCCACGGAGGCGTGTTTTCTGACGGCCGACCGTCAGTGCACGGAGTTGCCCCTTCTCCGAATTCTAAAGAAAGAAAGAAAACAGAAACCCAAGGGAGGGATGGGAGACGGCACGGCGCCACCACACAGGGATTTTAAGGAGAGGTGTATGATGCGCTAGCCGTCGCCCACCCTAGGGAGTCTGCCTCTTCCTATCTCTCTTCGCAGTCTCTCGCCGCTTCTCGCTGCAACCTTCATGCCACCTCGCGGTCGTCCCACTCTCGTCGTTCTCTCCCTTGTCACTTCCTCCTCTGTCGCGTCGTTCTCTTCTGCCTCGTCCTGCGACGCCGCCGCCTGCCGGTCCCTTGTTCTCGCGGCTTCTTTCGCCTTTCGGCGCAACTCCGCCCTCCTCGCGGCGTATCCTGGCCCCTCGAGTCTATCGAGCTCTCCTCGCGCAAGGACGACTCTTCTGACGCCCACTGCGATCATCTGCCGCCAAGTCATATCGTTGCTCAGGTCCACTCTCTCTTCGAACACTTGTGCCTCTACGGATGATGCCGGCGCTGGGGTCCCCTTCGGGTGCATCGTGACATCTGGACTGAAGAACGGCCACGAGGGGTGTGTGATGTGCGGTGCGGGGTGTGAGGGGGCAGCGTCTGTGTGTGTGTGTGTTGGCAGTAGGTGGGCGAGCCTCGAGCGCGCTCATCTCGATCGTCAAGGCGTCGCTACGCGCGGTCTTCCGCGGGGGGAGCTTCGTCGACGGGTGCGGGAGCGCGGCGCAGTCAGTGCCGTGGCGATGCCTCCGGCTGTTTGCGGCGGGCGGCTTGCTGCTCGCTGCATGCGAAAAAACTCGTCTCGCCACACACCAAGGGCGTATGCTCTGGCGAGACGTGAGGTGCATGCGCCCAGGAGGGAAGGGGGCATGCGTAACGACGCTGCTAGAGATGCCTTTCGGGGCCCAGAGACAAAACTTCTGTGATGCCATGCGTGACCTAGTAGTGTCCCCAGCTATGGGCGTGTCCACGTTGGAGCCAGGTGTGGTGTGGGCGCGAGAATAGCTCCGCCGTTCATGGAGGCAACCGATGCGAGTCGACTGGTGTGTGTCGTCGTGGTTTCGTATCGTGGGCTCACTTCACATATACTGCAACTAGCTTACGGGCCTCGTTGAACAGATGCCATACAAGCAAAAAGTCCGAACCCAGCGTGTCCGCGTCGTGAGCCAGGAGCTATGGCAGCGACGGAGGCGTACCTCGAGAAGCACGGCGTGACCAAGATGCTCGACGCGATCGTCAACGAGCTCGTCAGCGAGAAACCCGCCGACCCTATTTCCTTCCTCATCAACGGGCTGCTCAAGGAGGCTGGCAAGCGCGGTCAGGAGCCGGCGCTGCTGCAGCGGCTCGTGGAGCTCAAGAAGACGCTGCTGAGCGAGCAGGCCGAGGCGAGTAAGACGCTGGACGAGAAGGCCAAGCTGAGCGCCGAGGTTGACAAGCTCGCGTACCGCATCAAACACTTGTGCAAAGCCCTCGACACTGCAGAGGCAAACGGCGGCGGCGGCGGCGGCGGCGCGGCGGCGCCGTCGGTCGGGCAGATCCCCATCGGGCACACGGCCTTCTCGTGGGCCGGCGGCGTCCAGGTCGGGGGCGGAGGCGGAGGCGGCGCGGGCGGCGGCGGCGGCGCGCCTGCCGCTGCTGTGGCGGCGGGCGGCGCGGCGGGAGGTGCCAGCCTAGATATAGAAACGGCAAGGATGAGATGGGAGGCTTCAGTAGAGATGGGTATCAGGGAGCGGGTCCCCGCCCTCGCGGGTCTTTTGTGCAGGCGCCGAGCTTCCGAGCGAGCGGTACTCGTCTCGAGTGGCGGTGGCGACGCTGCTCAAGGCGACCTCCACTCCTCTCTGCGACTTCCTGCTACCTTGACTCCTCTCCACTGCTCTCCACCACTCTCCACTCCTCTCTGCGACTTCCTGCCACCTTGACTCCTCTCCACTGCTCTCCACTACTCCACTGTTCTCCACTTTTCTTCACTGCTCTCCACTGCTCTCCACTACTCTCCACTGCTCTCCACTACTTTCTCCTCCTCCACCCCCCACCACTCTCCACCACCCTCCACTCCTCTCCTCCACCCTCCACTCCTCTCCACTGTTCTCCACCCCTCTCTCCTGCTGCCACTAGGCGAGCCCCGAGGCGGAGGGCAAGGAGGTGGTCGTGTGCGGTTGGGTCAAGACCAACCGGCCACAGCAGAAGCGCCTGGGCCTCTCTCCCGGGCCGGTCCTCTCGACGCCTCCTCGCGCCTTGTCTGTAGGTCGCAGAAGAAGCTCTGCTTCATGTCGATCAACGACGGCTCGTGCCAGGCCAACCTCCAGCTCGTCCTCGAGAAGGACAAGCTCGACCCCGCCGCGTGGGAGGCCGCCAAGGGCGCCGGCAACGGCGCGGCGGTGCGCGTGGCCGGCCCGCTCAAGCTGTCGCCGAAGGAGGGGCAGCAGTGGGAGCTGCCCGTGGGCAGCATCGAGATCGTCGGCCCGTCGGACGGGGGCAGCTACCCGATCCCGCCCGCAAAGATCAACCTCGAGACGCTGCGCGGCCTCACGCACATGCGGCCGCGCACGGGCGTGATGGGCGCCGTGATGCGCGTGCGCAACGCGCTGGCCTACGCGACGCACACCTTCTTCCAGCAGGCGGGGTTCATGTACGTGCACGCGCCGCTCATCACGGGCGCGGACTGCGAGGGCGCGGGCGAGATGTTCCAGGTGACCACCCTCGACCTTGCCAAGCCGCTGCCGCAGTCGGCGGGCGGCGGCGTCGACTACGCGCAAGACTTCTTCAGCAAGCCCGCGTACCTCACTGTCTCGGGGCAGCTCAACGGCGAGTACTACGCGTGCGCGTTCGGCTCCATCTACACCTTCGGCCCACCCCTTCCTTCCGCGCGGAGACAGCACGGAAAAGCGCGCGGCGCCGACGCGGCGCCTTCTCGTTCTTAGGCCCGACGTTCCGCGCGGAGAACTCCAACACGACGCGCCACCTGGCCGAGTTTTGGATGATCGAGCCGGAGATTGCCTTTTGCGACCTCACGCAGAACATGGACTGCGTCGAGGGCTACTTGCGCCACTGCTTCTCGCATGTGCTGGCCGAGTGCGGCGAGGACCTGGCCTTCCTCGAGGACTACGAGGTGAAGCGCAAGGAGGAGGCTGGCGAGGGTAGAAGCGGAACACGCACTCTTGTCCCGCAGCTAGCGCTCGAGGGGGCTCTCTCGGTGAGGAGGCGAGGAGTTCGTACCAGTGACTCATTCTTCGTAGGCTGGCGAGCCGCTTGAGGAGACGCTGCGCGCGCGGCTCGAGGTGGCGAGATATGGGGAGAGATGGGGAGGGATGGGGAGAGATTAGCTTGAGGAGACGCTACGCGCGCGGCTCGAGGTGGCTGCACCTCGGCCGCACCTCAGCCGCACCTCGGCCGCACCTCAGCCATACTTCGGCCATACCTCGGCCGCACCTCGGCCGCACCTCGGCCGCACCTCGGCCGCACTTCGGCCATACCTCGGCCGTACCGGTTCTATCTCGGCCAGTTCTCGGCCAGACCTCGGCGCGTCTCATGTGTTCCAGCTCTCTTCTAGCTCCCTCCTCCCTGCGGGCAGGTGGTGGTGAAAGACGCCTTCGCGCGCGTCTCGTACACGGAGGCGGTCGAGATCGTCAAGCAGGTGCAATCTCGTGCAATCTCGTGCAATCTCGTGCAATCTCGTGCAATCTCGAGCCGCGCCTCCCCCCACCTCGCCCACAGGTGCCGGGACCGAAGGACGGCGTGGCGTGGGAGTTCCCGCCGCAGTGGGGCGAGGAGCTGCAGACGGAGCACGAAAAGTACCTCGCTGAGGTGGTCTACAAGAAGCCCGTCATCGTGTACAACTACCCGAAGAAGTGCAAGGCCTTCTACATGCGCCTCAACGACGACGACGCGACGGTCGGCGCGATGGACGTGCTCTTCCCGCGCGTGGGCGAGATGGTGGGAGGCGCGGCTCGAGATTGCACGAGATTGCACGAGATTGCACGTGCTCTTCCCGCGCGTGGGCGAGATGGTGGGAGGCGCGGCTCGAGATTGCACGAGACTGCTCGAGATTGCACGAGATTGCACGAGATTGCACGTGCTCTTCCCGCGCGTGGGCGAGATGGTGGGAGGCGCGGCTCGAGATTGCACGAGACTGCTCGAGATTGCACGAGATTGCACGAGATTGCACGTGCTCTTCCCGCGCGTGGGCGAGATGGTGGGAGGCGCACAGTAGCAGCAGCAGTAGCAGCGGCAATAATAGTAGCAATAGTAGTAGCAGCCGCAGCAGCAGCAGTAATAGTGGTAGTAGGAGTAGCGGCAGTGGTAGTAGCAGCGCAAGGCGCGGCTTTGACGGAGCTGTGGACGGCGTCTCTTCACACGCCACCGCTGTGAACAGGCTCACAGCGGGAGGAGCGGCTCGATGTCCTCCTGGCGCGGATGAAGGAGATGGGGTGAGCGGCTATGGCCTCCTCTCCCTAATCTCGCGTAATCTCGCGTAATCTCGCGTAATCTCGGGTAGTCTCGGGTAGTCTCGGGTCATCTCGGGCAATCTCGGGCAATCTCGGGTAGGCTTCAGGAGGAGGACTACTCCGCCTACCTCGACACGCGCCGCTTCGGCTCGCAGCCGCACTCGGGCTTCGGCGTTGGCTTCGAGCGCCTCGTGCTCTACGCGACGGCGATGGGCAACATCCGCGACGTCATCCCGTTCCCGCGCACCGTCGGGCAGATGCTCCACTGAGCGCACTCGCCAAGGCTGCGCCGGGGCCGCCGCGCGGGCGTGCGCCAGCCTCGGCGAGGCGGGAGCTGGCGAGAAGCTCGCGACGGAGAGAAAGTGCCAGAGGCAGAGCCCCGCCCGAAAGCCTCGAGTGTCTGTGGTGCCTCTCCGCCCGGGGTAGAGTCCGTAGACGGAAATGGTATGTCGATCGAGATGTGGTGTGGCGGAACACCTGCCCTCACGCCTCATCAGAGATGCATAAATTGGCGAGAATATATGCACACACACGGCTGCCACACACGCAACACACGACACCTCTCGCTCGACTACACGTGTGACGTGACTCGTGAGATCCGACACAGGCATTTTTTGTCCAATTAACGCATTTCGCTTAATGGATGCTGCTTGCTGGCACCACTCACAGTCACACAGTCAGAGGGAGCGAGAGGAACTCGCGTTGGTCGAGCGCAGCGCTGCGTTCCTGCACACGGTTGATTCTCGGTGTCGGGCTACCCGGACCAGCGACCAGCTCACTCAAAGCAGCAGATCTCAGTACTAGTACAGTTGTTCACTCGGCAGAGCCCAAGCTCCAAGTGAGCAGCGAGCTCACGTCGTAGGCGGTGGCAGCGACGCTGTTGCCGACAAAGGCAACGCCCGTGAGGACGTGGTTCGCCTAAGAAGAGGAGCGGGCAGGACGGCTCACGGCCGTCAGCGAGATATGGGCCCGGTACCTCAAGTTATCAGTGGCGGATTCATCTCAAGATTTCACGACTATGCATCTCGCCGCGGCGAGGTGCGCGCGGTGCTTGACCCTCCGGCCGGGCTCGAGGTCCCACACCGAGACATACCTAGAGCCTCAAGCAGGACAAGCTACAGGGTCGCCGGCATGGTGATGTGGTAAATGTCGCAGAACACTAGCACAGCAGCTCTGAACTCATCCCGCGGCATATAGTGTCGCCAAAGCCACAGCTCCCTGGGATCGCGATGTGCCGTCTAAGGCCGCGCGAACCCGTCCTCCGAGGCGCACGCAAAGATGCCGCGGCCCGGGTGCACCTTTAGCGCGAGGGGGGGGGGGGGGGTTGGCCGAAATTTCGAGCCGAGGCTTGGCAGCCAACTAGCTTATATTGCACCTCTAGAGCGTTGATCCACCGCGCGTGCGCCGCGACGACAGCGACGCAGCGCTTGGCGTCCACGTCAAAGACGCGCACGCGCCCGGTGGAGTACGCTGCGAGCATTGTCCTTCCACGAATCCGGAGAGAGGTGCACAGCTCCGGCGCTTCTGCAGTTAGTCGCATCGTGGCGAGCGGGGCGCCATCGGTGCCAATCTCTGCCAGGATAATCTCGCTCGATCCGTCCTGAGGCCGGGTGGGAAAAGGATGGGGGCAGGGGCGAGTAACTTTCGCGGCGCGCGTGACGCACCGGTTTATCGGTGCCTGCGGCGATTGCCAATATGCCCTCCACGCTGCCGTCCATGTCTGAGATGGGGCCGGTGCAGACGTTCTCCAGAGCGGTGGCGAGGGCGAGGTTGCAGAGTTTGGACGTGGCCGGATCAGCAGCGCAACAGTGCAGATCTCCGCTGCCGGACGAGCCCACGTAGAGGTAGCTCGACCCGCCCGCCTAGGTGGTGGGAGTTGTGCGTGCCGTACGTGGCGTGCGTGCCATACGTGGCGTGCAAGCGTGGGGCGAGTGAGCAGCGCGCGCGTGTGTGCATGTCCCTCTGTTTGTCTGTGCATGGTGGGCCTTCACGGTGGCAACGCCTCGGAAAAAGGAGGCGGCAGGCCGCCCCTCTGCCATGTGCAGGGTATGCAGCTCGCGGGCGCCATCCGCCGAGAAGAAGATCGCGCTCCTTCCCGAAAGGACCACGAGCAGCTCGACCCCTCCAGCCAGCTTGATGAATCTCACATGCGTGACTGCGGTAGTGATGGCGGGGAGGGGTAGGATGCGGCAGCAGTGGGTGATTCAGCTGAGCGGTGAGCGTTCGAGGGTGGTCGCAGGCTTGCCGGCAGCTGTGGCAGGGGCGATGGCTGCGAAACAGGCGGCGAATGCAGGGTGGTGGGTTTGGCCGGTTGTGTGGCGGCAGGAGGTGTCGACGCGGACCGGCGCTGTTTGCTCGGTCCTTCAGAAGCGTCGGCTTTCCGGAGCCGTCTGCCGCGCAGAGTGCGGCCTCAGTGGCATGCGCGAAGGCAAAGTGCCGGCCGTTGCTGCTCAGGTTATTGTAGCAAAGGCTCGCTGGCACGCGGGCGTTGACCTTGTGCTGAGCGGGCATGCGTGGTGCGGTCCGCCAGATATGAAACGGATGATTCTTTGCAAGTCGTGGCGTGGCAGACGGTGAACGAGCTAGCGTGCGGGGACAGCGGCATTGTGCACGGAGCTAAGTGCATTGCCGTTCTTAACGGAGTCGCTTAGGCGGCTCCGGTGGTGTGCCGGTGATAGTACTAGCACGCGCCAGTTCGCACCTGTGTCGAGCCTGTTTGCTGTGAGAGAGAGTTGTTTTGTCTAAATTCTTTGCAAGTTGGGACACCAACGCGGTATATTTTTTTGCGGATGGGTGCTCGCAAGACGGGCGGTGAAGGCTGAATAAAATGAGCTCGGGGGCACGGGACGCGGCACAAACGGGGCACAAACCAGGCTACAAACACGGGGAGGCCCGTAGTGACGCAAGGGAGTCTAGCATCTTCTAGCGACGGTGGCGTCCTCCGACGCCGGCGAGGCCTAAGCTCGGTCGCAATCTCATCCGCCGCCGCGAGCTGCAGCGCGACTGACATGCGCTGGGCCCGCAGCGACAGCCACGACCGCGTCGACCAGCGCGCCTCGTCCTCGTGCTGCCGCTTCGAGAGCTTGTTGCGCACCTTGTCCTTCATCTGGTAGAACAGCCGCTTGACCGCGTTGCACCACCCGCCGAAGGTTTCGAACAGGTACATCTGTACGTCCGTGCCCGAGCGCGAGAGGGCGTGCGCGTAGTCCGCCTTCGCTCGAGGCCGAAAATCGCGCTCGTGCCGTGAACCGCTGGGGCCCCTACCAACAACGCCAACGAACCCTGCAGCCAAGATGAGGGTTGTTGTCACGGGCTCGACGCGCGGTATAGGCCGTACTGTGGTGGAGACACTTTCGCGCGCCGGCCAGAACACCATCTTCCTCGGGTGCCGTGATCTGGAAGCCGGCAGAGCGCTCGCGGCGGAACTCGGTGGCGGCGCCGTGCCGCTTCTGCTTGACGTTACAGATGATGCCTCGGTCGCCGCCGCCGCCGCGAGCGTCCTGGCCACAGGGAGCCAGCTTGACGCGCTGGTGAACAACGCCGGCGTGCTTCTGGAACGCAAGGGCACGGCGTTGGCGTCCATCGTTGAGCCCACCTTGCGGGTGAACTTGCGAGGCGCCGTCTCGGTGACCGCCGCGTTCCGCCCGCTCATTCGAGATGGGGGGCTCATCGTCAACATCTCGTCGGGCGCCGGCACGTTCGTGACGGGGCAGCTCGACCCCTCGGTTCGCGCGAGGCTGGAGGCGATGGACGCGGCTCGCCTCCAAGAGGCCATCGCTCGCCTCGCAGCCGCGGCCGCCGCGTCGCCGACGCACCAGCCGGACGACACGCCCATCTACGGCGTGAGCAAGGCGGGGCTCAACTACTACACTCAGCTCGAGGCGCGCGAGAACCCGCGCCTTCGCGTCGTCGCCTGCTCGCCGGGCTTTTGCCGCACGGCCATCGCCGGTGCCGACGCAGACTACAGCAGACGTGAGCCCAAGGAGGCGGCGCTCGGCGCGGATGTGGTGGTAAAGCTCCTCTTGGGCGACCTCGGCCGCGACTCGGGACGCTTCTACAAAGAGTGCAGCAAGCCGGGCACCTCGCTCGAAGCGGCACGCTCCAAGCAAGAGCCGTGGGTAGCGAGCTTTGCGAAAGGCAACTTTTGCGCCCTCACGCCCGCGCAGCAGCGGAAGGCCATTGACGGGCCAGAAGCGGCTCCGCAAGCGACGAGCACGTCGTCAGCCCCGCCGGCCAAGCGCGCAAAGGCGAGCCACGAAGCACCGCCCGCTGCGCCTGCCGCCGCCGCCGCCGCCGCCGCCGCGTCGTGGCAGGTCTTTCTCGGCGGTTCCTTTCGGCCATACGAGGAGCCCGTGCAAGCGACGATCGAGGCGGCGTGGCAGAGTGCCGATGCCGCAGTGGAGGTGACGATTCGCGGCCAGGCGTACGTCCTTGACTTTGCGGAGAGCAGGCAGCGCCAGAAGAGCGACCCATCGCGCTCCCGAGCCATCAAGCGCGTCGTGTCGCTGTCGTAAGGTATAAGGTAAGGTATAAGGTACTGGGCTGGGTTTTTAGGCATTGTGGGGTTGGCACTCCCGTCGACCCTCATGACCTCCTGCGGTCTCTGAGATGGACACCAGTGGGTGTGGGACCACAGCCAGGATACACTCGAAGGCTGGGTAAGCAGTAGAGGTCGATACTCGACGCGTCCCACATGGTTGTGTCGCTGTCGGCACGCTGTCGACAGGATGTCGAGCGACACCGGTGGCAGTGCCACCCAGGAGTGGTCGGGCGGTCTCCCGTCATGAAAGAGCCACCATGTGATCCGTATGATGATTCCTGACAACCGCCTCAGTCAACTTTCGTCACAGTTCCCGCTCTGAGAGGAGCTGCGGGTCAGTTCGACAGCTGGAGCTGTGTCGCCGGCGTGCGGCGGCCTGCCTCCGGAGGTGCCTCTGAGGTGGACATTTTTTTGTCACCGTGAGAGAACGCGTTCGAATTTTCACTCGGGAACTTCAACTGAGCACGCGCACCGGCCAGGGCGGCAAACGGCTGCGCGGTGAGCACAGTCGCACTCCTCTGTGTAGCGCCTCAGGGTGAAGGGGGGGCATGCCGGGTCAAGCTGAGACTAATGGTCGAGGCACCAGGGGTCGTTCTTCGCCCACAGCAGCAACTGGCAGAGCAGGCGCAACGACGCCCGCCCGACTGGGTGGCATACACAGACGGGTCGGAAGACCTAGGGAAAGCAGGATGGGCCTATACAGTACTCATCGGGGGCGACGCAATCGGCGATAGGGGCGCGTCGCTGGCGAGCGAGGGCTACGGGCCAGTTGTCACTTCGGCGGCGCACCCAGCCTACCTCGGCGCGCGAAGGCATACCAACAACACGGCGGAACTAACCGCCCTAGCCGAGCTCCTCCGGGCTCTCCTGTCCTCGTCACCGCAACGAGCGGGCTCACGCGGAGTAGTGCGGACCGACAGCGAGTACGCGGCGGCGTGCATGATGGGGAGGGTGACCCCCAAAACGAACAGACAGCTAGCGGAGCGCCTTCGTTCCCTCTGGCGACGCCTTCGCGCCAAACACACCGTGACGTGGAGGCATGTGGCGGGTCACAGCGGCAACAAATGGAACGACTACGTCGACGAGCTAGCTGCTCGCGGCAGGCAAGGTGACAGAGGCTCAAACGCTGCCGAGTGGGCGGACAACACCATCCCGACGGACACTCCCGACGAGGGGAGCGACACGGAAGGACCCGCCCCCGCCCCTCGGGGCGGGGGCCCCCGCCCCCCCGGGGGGCCCTTTGGGGCCCCTCCAGGGGGCGACCCCTCCGGGGAGGCCGGCCCTCCCCGTGCCGGTTCTCCCCAACCAACCCCGCCGGCAGCGCGAGCTGCCGGCCATATTGAGCGGTTCGTCCGCGTCGCGCACTCGTCCCAACCGAGGGCCGCAGACTCGTTCTGCGCGCCAACGGCTGGTGACGCTGTGTTGCCCTTGAGCTAGTCCTTCCCCGGTCGCCTAGCCTCTGCGCTGTCTGGCGGACGCCTGTATGCCATGCACGCGGACCACGCTTGCGTGGATACGTGGCTGGCAGGCAGACCCGTGTGCGGGGTAACCCGCGCACGGGGAAGCTTCACGGGTTCGAGCCGTCAAACATTGAGCAGCGGAGGTGTGCCGAGGGGGACCGGGAGGCGGTAAGCCGTCGTCGCCCGGCGCTGCATGCAGCACCGTGGCGATGGCGCTAAGAGGTTCCTCTTTTCCGCGCCCCCCCCGCAAGGCGCGCGATACACACGGGCTACAATAGTGCCAGTGAGGCGGAGGCGCGAGTCGGAAGGCCGCGACCGTCAAGTGTTTTCGTCATTTTCGTCATTTTCCTACAATCGCTGTGAGGACGCCACCGTGCGAGGCGTGGCGCACCTATCCAGTGGCGCCGTCTCGTCGGGCTCCGCCACCGCCGGCCGTCGCTGCTCGGCTGCCCAGTCCCAGCCGCCACGCTCGAGGTCCCAGTCGGTCGCATTGCGTCTGGAAAGGCGTTTGCTCCCACGGGCTTGGCGCCTCGGCCGTCTTGGCTTGGGCGGGTCCGGCTGGGCCGACGGCGACGACGACAGGCGCGCGTCCACGCGGATGCGAGAGATCGATTGCATATGTCGTCGATCTGTGGCACGCGGCGGGCGCGGCGCAAACAGGCGGAAACACACACGTGCGCGGGCTCGTTTGGGTTGATTTATGATTCTTTTTTGAGCTTAGTGCGATGTTTCTTTTTTTGCCCGACGATCGATCGCCGGGGGCAGCTTGCTTGGACGCTCGGCTTTGACGCGGCATGCAGTACCAGATCAGTGTCCCTCCGGGGGTGCAGCCCGGCCAGCGGATCCAGGCCAACGTCGGCGGGCAGATGGTGCAGGTCCAGGTCCCCCTCAACCTCGGGCCAGACCGTCTCGTTCGCATCACAGTTCCCGCCGCGGCGCCGCCGCCACAACCTCAGCAGTTCCGGGTGACGGTGCCGCCCGGGTGCGGCGCAGGCTCCGTGTTTCAGGCCAACGTGGGCGGCCGCCTTGTCCAAATCACCGTTCCGCCCGGCCAGGGCCCCGGAAGCCAGCTGATGGTGAACGCTCCGCCGCCCGGACCCGCTGCGCCGCAGTATGCACCGCCGCAGCCACGCCCGGCCGCGCCGCAGCCACGCTCGGCCGCGCCGCGGCCGGCGGCGCCGGCACGACCGTCTGCGACAGCGCGGCCACCCCCCTCTCGCGCTTCGGCCGCGTCGCGCGCTTCGGCCGCGTCGCGCGCTTCGGCCGCGTCACAACGGCAGAGCACAGCGGGGAGCAAGGCATCGGCGACAGAGTACCTACAGGCGAAGCAGCAGGCGCGCGAAGACGCGGCCGCGGCGCGCGACGCGAAGGCCGCGGCGCGCGACGCTAAGAAGGCTGGCGCCGCTCCGCCTACGAACACTGCCCCTCCCCGCAGCAGCGGCGGCGGCAGCGGCGAGGTGTCGGCTCTGTGGTGGCTGAACATGGGCATCTGAGGCGGCGTAGAAGGAGTGCATGGCGCTCCGCGCGGGAGGACTGATGGGTGGGGTGCAGGAGGGTGTGTACGATGGGCCCGAGGAGGGGGGGGGGGGGGGGACTGGAGATCGCGAGGGAACGCGTCACGGTACTTTACGGTAGGCTGTGTGTAGACCACTTAGATGTGTGGGGCCGCCAGACACTGAGTTTTAAGCGATTCCGCGTTCTATCTGTGTTGCCCCAGACCCACTTTAGACGGAAGCGAGAGGGGGGGGGGGCGGTGTTACAAACTTGACGGGTGTTTTTGGATGGTTCGAGACCAACGTCCAACGGCAACGCGGCGCCGGCGGGAGAGTCTGGGAGAGATACCGGTTACCGGCTTTAGGTGCACGGGCGTCGACTCGCGAGACGGCTCCTGTGTGAAAATCCTCGCATGCGCCCCCCCTGCAGCTGCGCGCCCTGTGCAGCAGGTGGGTCAGTGCGCGGCGCCCCCGGGCGCCCGGACCTCGAGACATGCCCCCCCCCCCCCCCCCCAACCACCCTCCCCCCCCCACCCATACCCACAACAGCATCGCACGTGAAAGCTCCATCACATCTCCTTCCCCCGCGGGGGCCTTCACGCGCTCGTCGTCGTTGTCGCCTCGTCGTCCGGCGCAGCCTCAGGCGCGGACTCGCCACCGCGCGCCTCCTCCAGGCCCGCTTTGATATACTCCGACCCGGTGGTTAGCATCGACGTGGCAGCTTCGTATGCTGCGTGCGCGATGGGCGCCACCTTGCCGTTGAGATACTCCTTGTCGAGAGTCTCCACCTGGGGAGGCGCGACAACGGCGCGCGGTGAGCTAAGAGAGCAAGTGCAGACGTGCACTGTGGTGAAGCAGCTGGCGAGCATGGGCCTTCTCGACCAGCTTTGAGGTCTTCTCCGCGAGGCCGTACTCCTCGGCCTGCGATCATGGGCCGCACAGTGAGAGCTGACACCACACACGAAATCCCCGCCGTGGGTAACAGGGATACCTTGCCAGTCAGCAGCCCCGCCGTCTCACTCACCTACGCGCGCAAGAGAGCCGGGGCGAGACGTCAACGAACCCTTGCTCCCGCGAGCGAAGAGGCCATCGCCCGCCTTGTCTGCGATGTGGTACTTGTCGTCCACCTTGGCGGCCTGCTCAGAGAAGAGCCTCCTCTCAGTCTCCTAGGTGCGCCACCAAAGGGCTGTCTCCCAAGGCGCGAACCGTTGAGAAGATGAACGAGGCGCTGTTTGCTGCAATGCCGCTAGAGCGCGCATGAATGCCGTCGCGCACGCCCTGTAGCGCTGCAGTGGCCGCAGCCGAGACCGAGGAGGCGTGCGCCGACGCCTCGGCCAGCGCCGCCATCGCCTTCTCGCGTGGGCCCTCGATCGTGGCAAGCACCTTGGCCGTTGAGGAAAGGGCGTGAGGGCAGTGGCGGGGTTGGGCCGCCGCCGCGAGGGACGCAAGCAGCTGTGAGGGGACCACCTTCTCCTTCAGCTTGTGCTCCTCATCGTACTTGTTGGCGAGCTCCGTCAGCTGTTCAAGGCCGCTGTTCGCTGTCGCAAAGGCCTTGCTGAATGCCTTGGTGGGGACCTGCTCACGCGCAGCGCTTGGCGGGCCGGTGTGAGGAGACCCTGTGCCAGCTGTAGGCCAGGGCACAGCGGCCAGCGCACGCCTCCACAGACTTGTCCTTGAGTGTTGAGGCCTTCTGCTGGATGTCGTCGATTGCCGCCTGCGCCGTGTCGACGGCGACGGCCAGCGCCTTTTGCGCCTTGTCGCTCGCGCCGTAGGTGTCATCGTACGCGCTCACCTTGATGGGTGTGACGAGACGGTGAGAGGCTGGCCCGCGCGTGCCTCTGCTTCATATCGGCCGAGGCGCCTTCTTCTTGATCTCTTCGAGGGCGCCTTTGGCGGCGGCCAGCGCCACCGACATCCGCCCAACCGTCTCCGCCTCGATCTCGGGCGCATCCGATGTGGCGTCGGCCATTGCAACGTCGACTTTTGTAACCGATCTTTGGCGCCACACTACATTGTACGTACTCTCTCATTGTGTATGCACATGAGCCGGCACTCACACGACTTCCTCATCGTCGGCCCGGTCGGTGCGGGCAAGACGACTCTCGTTCGCAGACTGCACGCGCTGGGAGCGCGGCAGCGAGCTACGTCGACGACAGCGGCGCCGCCGCAGCCAACCGTAGGTACCGAGCTACTCACTCTGTCGCGCCCCTCTCTCACCCTGCTGGAGGTCGGGGGCGCAATGGAGCCGCTGTGGGAGGGGTTCCTGGGCCACTGCCGCCGCGGTCTCCTCTTCGTGGTGGACACCTCCAGTGCTTGCGCAGTCGGCGCCGCGTCGGTGGCACTGCTACGGCTCCTCTCTTCAGAGGACCCGTCTAACAAGCGGCCGCTCCTCCTCGTCCTGAACCAGCGAGACCGACTAGACGCGCTGCCCGAAGGCATCGTGCGGCACCTCCTGCGCCTCGATGGTATGCAGGAGACATCTCGCGGGAGGCGGATCTCCATCCATTGGACGAGCGGCCGGAGCGGCGACGGAGTGGACGGCGTGCTGAGGTGGTGCGTCGAGGAGCTGCAGCGCAACCCGCAGGCTTCGAGGTAAGTCGCGTCATCGTGTAACTGTGACGCGTATTTGGGTTTGGTCACGAGCCAGTGACACTGATTGCGTGCAAGCTACCCCGAGACGTTTACTGAACATGGCCCAATTCCCGATTGAGGGACTCGATCCACCGCTCGAGGCGCGAGCCGGGCCGCACGCCCTCACCCACTCTCTCCCCAAACACGTTTCGCGCCGCTCCCGCCGCCTGCGGCGTATTGCCGACGTAGCGCCAAGGGCGGCGCCGCTCCTCGATGCCCGGCGTCGAGAGCTGTATGGACCGCAGCTGGCCCTCCGCGAGGGGCTCGAGCCGCTCAATCAGGAGGGTGAGCGCCGCAAAGGAGAGCACCCGCACCGGCACCTGCGGAAGCGAGGGTGCGCCGAGCGCCCCGGCGCAGCACGCACCGGCAAGCCGGGCGAACACATCGTCTGTTTTGTGCACCCACTGACACGTCGCTCGCCCACCCGAGAACCCAGCACTCACGGCGGCCCAGCGGCGCGCTCTGCGAAGTGCGGCGGGCCGGCCGGCCGCCAGGTTGAAGAGGAGCGAGCCCATCCCGACGACTCCTCCGCTCACGACCACCTGCCGCACGACGTCTGAAGGGCCGCTGGCGAGCGGCAATCGGGTGCGACTAGCACCCGTGGCGACCGTGGCGAAGGCGATAGCGAGCATGACTGTCGGCCGCCGAGAGCGAGCCTCTCCTAGTTACACACAAAAAAACAAATTGCCGCGCGTCGAGGTTCTCGAGGTGGATCTCTCGAGGTTCTCGAGGTGGATATCCTTTGGCCGCGTTGGGTAGCGAGGATTGGTGTAACCCGAGCCACGGAGGCGTGTTTTCTGACGGCCGACCGTCAGTGCACGGAGTTGCCCCTTCTCCGACTGCCCCGGCTAGCTAGCCGGCTAGTTCCCGAGGTCGCGCAGGGCTGACCCCTGCGTCCACCGGGCTGCCCCCGAGACCTAGCGCGGGTGGGTTGGAGGGGGGCTCGCTGCAGGGAAGGGCTGTGTAAGAAGCCGATCCCCGTAGTCCGCCCCGCTCCTCCCCATCGGGCCGCATGCGCGGCCACGCCGCCTCGCACCTCGCAGATTCGCTTCTCGCGCCTCTGGGTCAGGCGCGCGGGGCATCCCCCGGGTCGCTCGACCAGCGATCCGAAGAGTGGCCGCTATGCGAAGGAAAGAGTGGGGCCCTCGGTATATGTTTATTTTCTTGGCCCAAAAATGGCCGCTGAAATTCTTTTCCGCTCTCCTCTGTGCTAAGAGACACACGCACTCATCTCTCCAACACCGCCTCGCGCGGGCGGCTGCCACTCCGCCGCGGCCACAGGGGCGAAGCAGCTCGCCCCTTTGCGTGGCCCGGCATCCTTCGCAGCGCCCGCGGAACAGGGTGAAGAAGAACGGCGACGCGAGAGAAGAGGGGTAGGAGAGCGAGGGAAGAGAGAGGACGAAGCCACGAGGCTTGTACGGCCCTGTACGGCCTACGCCGCCACCGCCACCGCCAGCGCTTCGCCGCACGCGTCCAGCTCCCGCGAGCTAAACCGGCCGACCACCTGTTCACAGACCTCGTGATTGAGGGGGGCAGACCTCCTAACCTAACCTAACCTAACCTCCTCTGGCGCTGCTCCACACGCGAGGCTTGAGCAACCGGCATCCGTGACTCACAGGCAGAGAAGAAGGCCGATCATCGCGGCTGTATCTCGGCTGCATCTCGGCCGGCCGCGGCTGTATCCCGGCTGTATCCCGGCTGTATCTCGGCTGTATCTCGGCTGTATCTGAGCTAGATCTCGGCTGTGTCTCGGCCACACCTGTCCGTCCTTGCCGACGACGAAGAAGGCGGCAAAGTTCCAAGACACGTCCTTCCCACCAGCCTTGAGGAAGGTCCAGACCGGGTCCTCCCGCCCACCGTTGACCTCCACCTTGGCCATGAGGGTGCAGCCGCCGCCGTCCGTCGGCAGGCCTAAGGGGGTGCACGCCGTTAGAGCGAAGCTCTTCCAGCCATGTCTCATGGTGTGCACGTCGTGTGGTACTGTGCCACAGTGGTTTCTTTATGGCGTGTGGTACGGCGCACAGTGGTTTCTTTCTCTACATCGATGTGGGTTACGAGGCCCCGCCGTGCAGTGGCGCTGCTACGGGCGCCGGCCGAACGCTTAGCGGGGGACTGCGGGTGTCTGGACTGTGCAGCGCGTGTGCGCACACCCTCGCGCGAGCGCAAGGGCGGCGAGTCATACACGTTGTTGGTGCGACTCTAGCCTCTGTTCCGCATCTGGGGACGGAGGCCGAACTTTGCGACAAAGGCGGGGATCTGGGCGGTAGGCAGCTCCTGTCTTCACAGCTCGGCGCGTGAATGGCCGCACGCGCCTCCCCCGATCTGGGACGCCGGCTCAGCCGAGGTCAGCCGAGGTCAGCCGAGACTTGCTCCCTCCCCCTTCGGGAGATCATACCATTAAATCTCATTCTACGAGTTCTTAATTCATATCTCGCTCCTGCCGGCCGAACTCGTCCGACGGGTAGAGGAGGATCTCGAGGGCCGAGCCGTGCTGCCCGTGCCTGTCGTGGCGGTGCCGTGGCGGTGCCGTGGCGGTGCCGTGGCGGTGCCGTGGCGGTGCCGTGGCGGTGTCGTGGCGGTGTCGTGGCGGTGTCATCGACGTGTCGTGGCGGTGTCATGAGCGCGCACCCTCGCGGCGCTGCCTGGTTGCCTGGGAGTGGCGCGCCTCCCTCCAGCCCCGCCCGCCACGGCCCTCCCGCCCCCGGCTGGGGCGCCCTTTTCCCGACACCATTCCTGGCCGCACTACGCGCGCGTGGAGGCCGCGCCAGAGCTACAACCGAGGTGTGTGGCCTCTTGGCGCAGGCTCACCACGCTGCCAGCCGCTCGTACGACCGCTTCGTCGCGCCTCATCGGCTGGCGACGTTGACTACGACTGCAGCCTTGCCGGAGAGCGCGGAGAGAGGCAGCGCCGTGCCGTCGATCTTGGTGCTGGTGAGAGCGTGCAGGCTTGCGGGCGTTGGCATGCTTCGGGCAACCTAATCGCGGTCCGCTCGCGTTACTGTGTGCCTCGCAGCCAGGAGCGAAGTTCCTTGTGCGTCGCAGGAAAGAGCGAATTTGTTGTGTGTGCCTCGCAGGCAAGCGAGACGTGGCGGCAGCGAGGAGGGGCGGGCGCGGGAGCGGGCGGGACCACCACCGTCGAGAACAGCCTTTGCATGTATGTGTACTTTTAGCTTACTGGGAGAAAAGAGAGAGGGCTCTGAGAGGCTCTCTCTCTCTGCATGTAAGGTAACGTAAACTTCTCCACACATGAGCTTGCCTGTGGCGGGGGTGGGCGGGTGCACGGAGCTAAGTGCCTCGCCACCCTCGCAGGAGTCGCTTAGGCGGCTCCCGTGGTGTACCTGTGTTAGTGCCAGTGCGCGCCAGTCCCGTGCCCAGTGTTGTGCGAGGGAGTTTAACCACCCCCCTGCCTGCCGTGAGTGAGTATTCTTGATACGAAACCACGACGACACACACCAGTCGACTCGCATCGGTTGCCTCCATGAACGGCGGAGCTATTCTCGCGTCCACACCACACCTGGCTCCAACGAGCAACGTGGACACGCCCATAGCTGAGCGAGAGGCTGCGACAGCGACAGCGACCGAGTCCCCAGATGGCCTTCGAAAAAGAAAAATCGGGCGCTAACTGCACTCCAAGTGCCTTTTTGCCGTCGAGCCCTCGAAATGTACATGCATGGAGCCTCGGAGAGGGCCCTGGGTGGGCGCAGTGTCGTACAACAAAGAAATACAGATGTATACGAGACGATCGAGGGGTCCCGTACCATGCGGAATCGACCCTATCCAGTGCTCAAGTGCTCAAGATGTATACAGACGACGGGACGCGGCACGGACACGGGGCCACCGACGCACCGCGTGGCTACACGGGGAGGCACGCGTAGTAACGCGGGGGGAGGGAATCTAGGCGACGACGGCGTTCTCCCTCCGACGCCGCGGCGAGGCAGACGCTGGGATGGGATGCCCTTTCTGTGGCACGCAGAGCCACAAACCTGACTGCCCGATGGTGAGCGTCAGCGGCTTAAACATCGGCGCAAGCTTCAGTGGCGTAGGCATTGGCGGCTATGGCATCGGAGTGCCTCCTTGTTCCACGCCTGTTCTCAGTGGTGCGAGGGCTCGAGGTGATCCCCGGCGGGACGAGCGAGAGACGGGCGGGAGCAGCGAGCACGCTGCACGGCCACGGGAGTCGGGACACGGGAGAGTCGGGTCTCGTTCGGCTTCCGCGGGATGTGGGTGTGTGCGCTGCGGCTACCCCTACCCCCAGTATCGTAGTCTTTGTTAGTATCGAGGTCTCGCGAGTTTTGGGGGTTCTCGGCGCCGCGACAGCGCTGCGAGCAGCGCGATGCCACGGCGCTCGGCCTGCTGAGAGAAGACCTTCCCGGACGGCAGTGACAATTTACCCGACATCAATCGTCGACGGCAAGCTCGAGAACTGCGCCTCCAAAGTCGCCCAGATTTGCCTCTCTCGGCGCGCTGAGTTAGTATCGCCGGTGCGCCAGCAGGCTCTGCTCCACAGCAGGGCATGCCCGACTGGCTCCTGCTAGCCGTGCGTCCTGGTGGCATCCATTGCCAGCCCAGGTAGCCCCAGGAGGTCGCCTCGCGCACGACGCGGCGTCGCAAGCACCGCTCAGCGTGACTACCGAGTTAGTATCGTCGACCCACAGAGACTGCTCTTCTGTAGGTGGAGCCGACAAACGCCGGCCGGGTCGGCCCCGCCGCCCCCATCGCCGCCGCCGGGGCGGCGGCGGCCTCGGCGGACCATCCGGCGCGCCGCGCGCCCGTCAGGGAGGTGTTCACCACCCCTGGCTCCTCACCCCGCCACGCCTTCGTGCGGACGCCGTGGCACCCACCTCAGGCGCCGCTCGGACTCGGTTGACGGCCGCCCAAGTGCTTGGCTCGTGCCAAGCCGACCGGCAGGCGATTCCCACTCACTGCTAGGCTAATCTCGGGCTGTCCGGCGTCAGTGTGGTGCCGTGAGGGGCGCCGCCCCCAAAACTACGACTATTAGTACCGAGCGGGGGCAGTGCATTTAATTCTGTCAAAAATCCAAATCTGCTCCGTGGAGCTTATTGGGCTAGGATCATACGTCCGGGAGGCCCCCCATGCGTGCCGTAACGATCGACAGCGATCTGGCTACTCTGTTCGCACGTTCACACCTCGTACTGGGCTGGGTGGCTTTAGGTCGTTTAACAAAGAGCGGGACGACCAGCAGCAACGATTTACAGCAGCGTCCTGCCGAGTGTGTGTAGCACCGACGCAGACGCACCCCAGGCACTACACTACGACGGCTAGGCAGACCTCACCAGTCCGATAAGGATCAACTGGAAGGTTGAACCTCGAGCTTAGACAGAACGGGCGCGACAGACTCCAGGGGAGATCGCGCTCTACTCGGGGCACCAAGGAGGAAAACCGAAACCGTTTGGGTGCCCCACAAAAACCCAAACGCTACAACCTAAAAGTCACACCTCCCCCCCACGTCCCCCCCCCCTTGGGGACGTCACACTGGGCAAATCGGCCGATTTCCCTCCCGCTAAATCATCACGGCCCCGTAACACCCTCCGCGCGCGGTCAAAGGCTTCCCAGGGCCGGTCCATGACATGAACCGATAGACACAAGCAAAAAAAACCGCACCTCTAAGCTTATCGGGCACCCCGAGGCCCATACGGCGTCCCGGCGGGCCCCGGCGGAGGTCCGGCGCGGCGCTCCAAATCCGCACTTCGCGAGCTTCTACGGGAGTTCACGCGGCCTCTCCGCCTCGTGAGGCACACCCCACACCCACCACGAGCCCTGGGGCCGTGGGCGGACCTTTGGCCGCGGCGTCCGGAGGTTTAGTCGTCGAACATCGGCCGCCAACTAGGCCGTCGACCGAACGTGTCCGGAGAGGCTCTCGGATGGGTCCGGCAGCGGTCCCATGGACCCAGAAGCTCGCCCCGGCGGAGCACTCACGGCTCGGCCCCCGCCCCTGGTCACCCAGACGTGCCCTTGGACAGCCGTAGGGGCTCGCATGACGACGTTGGCGCCCGCGACGACGCCCTCCCCGACGACATCGCATCTGGCAGACTACTCGGGCGCGGCGGCGCGGAGGATCACATGGTTTGGGACTCTGAGCGATGGCAGAGGCCTTTTACTGCAAACGAGGACGCCCCGCGAGGCCCCGTTGGCCGGGAGTAGTGAGTGGGACCATAAACAAGCACTATATCCCCTACCGCGACCAGCCCACACACAGCCCAAACCGCTGCCAAACCGGCCCTGGTCACGCAGGCGGGGAGGCTGCCGGAGTGATTCTGAGATCAGGTTAGTCGTTTCCCCTTTGGAGGCAGACATTTCAGAAAGCGAATCCCAGGCCGCATCTCCCCGCTCGAAGCGGGGAACCCGTCCCGGGCGCCCGCTGGAAGCGGGGGGGCGCCCGCTCGAAGCGGGGGCGCCCGCTCGAAGCGGGGGCGGCGCAGGCTGCCACCGCTGCCCGGGCGCGCCGAGCGGCGGCGGAGGGCCGCCCAGGCCACCACCAGTGCCTCTCCCACCGGCGGCGCGGCGGCAGTGGCGCCGACCGCCCCTCCATCAGCGGCGGCGCGAGGCTGTCGTCGGGACGCCGGCAGGTGACGCGCGAATAGGGTGCCACCGGACCGGCCGACGAGCACCCAGCGGAGCCGTCATCGTGCATGGCGAGCCGAGCACCGCCGCGTCGCTTCTCGGCGCATTGGAGAGCAGAGGAAGCTGCTGGCGTCGCGGCTGGGATCGGCAGCGGCGCCAGCAGCTTTCTCGGATCTGAAGCGACTTTGAGCGCCGATCGATCGATCTGAGGGCTGACCGATGGGCGGCGCTGGGAGGAAGACCGCGCCACCCGTCGGCCAGCCCTCAGCTCCGCGACGGCGACTCGATAGTCGTGGCCGGCGCTCGGCTGCCACTCTAAGCTGTGCCGCGCCAGGCGAACCGTGACGTCACTTCTTATGGATGCGGCACTAGGGACGCCCAATGTTTTCGTAAATATAGAAGCCACTCTCTCGCGTGTGGAAGCCACGACTGCGTAGTCGTGCTCCCCCGGAGCACGCCATAGAGCGCCGGTTTTGTGTACCGGGCGCGCACCCGCAGCCGTACACACCACTGCTGCCACTGCCAGGGGGTCGCCGCAGGCGCCCCAAGCGGCGCGGAGCGCCGCCGCAGGCGGCGGACAGCAGGTGCGCAAAATTAAACGCCATTTTCGGTTCCGCAGTTTTGCCACTAACGTCGAAATCCTGTACAAGAGTGATTCTGAGATCAGGTTAGTCGTTTCCCCTTTGGAGGCAGACATTTCAGAAAGCGAATCCCAGGCCGCATCTCCCCGCTCGAAGCGGGGAACCCGTCCCGGGCGCCCGCTGGAAGCGGGGGGGCGCCCGCTCGAAGCGGGGGCGCCCGCTCGAAGCGGGGGCGGCGCAGGCTGCCACCGCTGCCCGGGCGCGCCGAGCGGCGGCGGAGGGCCGCTCAGGCCACCACCAGTGCCTCTCCCACCGGCGGCGCGGCGGCAGCGCGCCTTCGCCGCATTCGGCTGGAGCCTGGGCGACGCGCGGAACCGCTCGCGCAGCGCGGCGGACGACGACCCATGCTGGCGCCGCTCGGACACGGTGGAATCCTCCTCCTCCCCCCCCCCTCTGGCCTCTCGGAAAAGAGAGGCCCCTCTTCGGGAGACGGCGGCTGAGCCCCCCTCCCACGGCGCAGGCGATCCTCTTTGGCCACACCTTCTTCGAGCAGTCGCCGAGTAAGACCGTCCTCTGCGCGATGCCAAAGGACGGCGCGCCCGCATGCAGCTGCTGCCGAAGCCTCCCGTCGCTGGCGGCGAAGGACTCGGCGCTGCGAGAGAAAGCCCGCGCGGGCGGCTTTGTGCTCGAGTCGTCCAATCAGCACCGCATCCGCGTTGACGGCCACTTTTCCGCCATGGAGGGTTGCAACGACTACCAGCGCTTCTGGGACCGTCGATAGCAATGTGTGCACGACGATAGCAATATGTGTCGCGGTCCAATCGACTCGTTCTTGTTCTGTGCAGCGACAAAATGATAAATAAAAATAATAAATAAATAAAAACACCATCTCTACTGTGAGATGGGTAAAAAGGAACAGATCCCGCCCTTGCGATCTTTGTGCAGGGATTCTTTGTGGGTGTGGTCGGCAACTAGAGCCGAGGGCGAGGCCGTCACTGGTTGGGTACGGGGTGTGGACCCTGTGAGAGTTGACCAGGGGTTGTGGCTTGTGCGCTGGGCCCTCCTGCTCGCGGCTCCACGCGCTCCAGCCAGTACACACAAGTCTCTTCTTGTCATCAACAGAGTAGAAGAATCTGACCTCGGGGCCGATGTGACCAAGCGCTGGTCAATATGTACGACATACGACGAATAAAAATTCAAGCCTGCGAGATAACCTGGATAGTGAGAGGGCGGCTGAGGGGGCAGGACAAGCGCGCGCGCGTTGTGGTTCGGATTTGCGCGCTCCAGCACACACACACCACTGGAGCTTTCACGGACCGAACACGGACATCTGACCACATAGAAGATCTGGGGGGGTCTCAATCTGCGCAAAACGGAGGAGACAGGACCGTGTACCGTTGAGGCCGCGGGGCATCTGCCAATCTCAAGAGCAATCGAGAGAACGTGCATGAAGGGTGCGGTCCCTGCTGCGAGGCGCGTGCTCCCCGTCACACGGCGCGGGAGGAGCTCTGTGCGCGAGCGCGGGCAATGGTGGAGAGCAGCGTCAGCCCGTTGACCCACGCATGCAGCATGGCCCACGTCTCGACGCGGAAGCGCTCGACCTGCGGACATGTCTCGGACATGTCATGGGCGTGGCCGGGACACCTCTCCACGCGGAAACGCGCCTGCTTTGCGCCGCTCCCCTTCAGCACCGTCACCTCGAACTCGTACTTGTTCAGGTTGGAGATGCGCGCGCTCAGCGCTGCGAGCGGGTGCGTGAAGGAGCGCGAGGCCGCCGAGGTGGCGCTGTTGTTGTCGACATGCCCGCCCGTGTCCACCAGCACGTACGAGAAGCTCTCCTGTAGCAGGGTGGCAGAGAAGGATCGGGGGACCCCGCCCCCCCGTGATACCCCGCCCCCCGAGGGTGCCCCTCCCCCCGAGGGTCCCCCGCCTCTCGGGGTCCTCCCCCTCTCGGACTCGTCGCCGCTCTCCTCGTCGCCTCTCGTCTGCGCCCCCGCTGCGTCCCGGTCCCTGCTCCGTCCCGCGCTCCTCTTCGCTCGCCGCGTCTTCCTCGCCTGCGGGGCCCGCTGCTCCTCGCCGCCTCCCGCGGCCTCCCCGCCCTCGCCCTCG